CCGGGAGATCCCGGCGGGGCTGTTTCTCCTTCCCGACGTTAAAACCTGGGAGAAAGGTGCCTCCGGCAGCGCGGAGCGTGGCGCCAGCGGCTGGAGCACGGAGACTTCCGCCAGGCCTGCGCACAGCCATCTCTTTGCTATTTATATGTTTTGTACGTATAATGTGTTTTGTTTAATTTCTGAAACCCTTTTCTGGGCCCTTTGGTCTGTTTTATTTATATATGTTTTGATTGTCAGCACAGGTGAGATCGTGACCAACGTGTAGACATACAGGTGGAATTCAGCCACCTGACTTTCTGAGGTGCTTCACCTTTCATTGCTCAAACAACAGTTTCTTTTCACCTCTTCCTGAACTTCCCTTCAAATTTTGTTATTTTTTTTTGGCAATAGTGTGTCATTTGCTGTATTTTATCTCTTTTGTGTGAGAAAATCTTGCTTTCGCCTCTTTATTCTCTGTGTTTCATTATAATGACTGTGGTAACGAGGAAAAATTAACCCCGCTAGAAAAAAAAATACTAAGTCAAATAAGACCAAGTCAGTGTTAGAGGGAATTTTTTGGTAATTGAAGGTCAGCTGCCTTTTTGCCATTGAAAGTAAATCTGTTACTGTTGCTCAGTTCTGCTGTAGCTCATTGTGCTCTTGTGGGAAAAGCGGGTGGGTGACTGGGTGTCTGAGAATGACACAAGGGAGCAGATGTACCAGAAGATCCTCCTGTGTGTATTGGAACTTGAAAGTATTTCCTAATGTACAAGTAAAATATCTATATTAAAATTTTCAAATATAGGCACCTAAAATTAGTCCCATACTGCAAGTACTTTGTCTGCTTCTGACATACTGCATTTTCCTGGAATTCCAAACTACACCTGGTTTGGGTATTTAATATAATTGGATCCTAATGACTACCAACAGTGTAAATATTTGTCTTGAATTTTCCTATGCATTTATAGTGAAGTTATAAATTAACAAAGAACTAGAAACAGTCTGAAATCCATAAAGCAGTATTTTATATATGCTTTGAGCATACTGCAAGATGTGTAGATGGGTTTTCATTGCATAGAGCTTACCTGTCAGGGAACTACCTCTTACAGTGTTCTAGCTGGCTAGTAATTTGCTGACTTCTCCCTTAATTTTTTGTTACGGTTGTTTACCCTTTTTTTTTTCTTTTTTATTTTTCCCCTCTTCCAAATGCTGCTGACCTAGGGAGCTGTTAGTGAGGTAAGGCCTGAATCAGTCTTGTCAAGGTTTGTTTCTGATACGTGTACTGGCCATGTATTGGAACCTTTGTACAGACTCCTTGGTGTTGCTTTTATGCCATTTTTGGGGCAGGGGGCTTGGACCAGGTGTCTCATGGAGGTCCCTTCCAGCCTTGGATGTTCTGTCATTCTGCGAATCCCAAACTCTTGATTTACTTCCAGCTCTGGAAGTAAAATAACTTTTCTTCACCAATAATACTGATGCATTGTAGTGAACAGCGTAGAAACTTGGTTTAAATTAAAAATTCTGGGCAGGGGGAGGAAGGGATCATGGTAGCTAAATCAAACATGCAACAGAGTAGATAACTGATTCGGATTCAGGAATTTCTCTTGCCTTTTTTTCCAAGCCTTGACCTGGGCATTCTCAAAAGTTTGAAAGAATGAACCTGCAGCTAAAAGTATGCAGATTCTGTGGCTGAAGGAGCTCCTAAAGTTTGTGTGACTTAGTAGCAGTAGAATTTTGCCACTACAGACCTAGCACAGTTGTTGTGCTGTAGTCACAGTGCATGAATGGACAGGGTGAGCACCGTATCCCATCCTGCAGTGAAACTTAGGGAACTTATCCAAAAACACCAGTTCGTTCGTTAACAGTTTGTGCACATTCTGTAAGGCAGAGCAGTACTGTATTTTTAAACATACATCTTATCTCTCCCCTACCATGCCACCCTCTCTGTTGCTCTGTATGTCATGTATCCTTAGGGGTGTCACCTTTCACGTCTCCACCTCATCTTTAAGTAGTGACTGTTGCTTAAACGGCACTTTCTCTTCATTGTTACTGCCTTGCATTCCTCTAGCTTCTCTTCCTACTGAAAGAGGAGAGTAGTTCAAATTCCAGAAATCTGCTGGCTATTTGTTGTTGGTTTTGTTTGTTTCTCCCCTGAAATGCTTCAATCTGTCAAGGCCAAATTCCAGTCAGTGCAGAGAGCCATCAAAATCTGCATTGGCTTTCTCTCTACTCCTATGGACAATCTAGCATGTGAGGGGAAAAAAAACATTATTTTTGTGGATTTGGTGCTCCTCACAGTCTTTTGAAACTTACTGGTTTTATTTTAGATAATCAGTGGTAAAACAAATGTAAAATTCTGTTCTCTTTGTTTAATCTTAATTTCAAATACTGGATTTTAAAGGACTTCTCGCACATTTGTACAAAATAAAATTTCTTCAGTGTTACAGTGATATGCCACTGGTAAGTTTAATTCACATATTATTTCAATTTGGAAGTACTGCTAGAAATTTTTTGAGAGATCACCTATTTTTGCTTGATAATTTTATTAAATATTGTTCACATTTTGGCTTTTTTTTTTTTTCAAGGCATCTCGAGTAATGGTAGCATCGCGTAACTATGCCGACTTTGCAAGTGAAGCCACATTTGAAGTTAAGGTAAAGCAGCTGAGTACTTAATACTGGCTTTCTGTGTAGACACTTCTTGTAGATCTTCCCCTTTATCTTTTCGGTTAGAAAAATACTGTTTGAATTTCCAGACCCAGACCCCTCCCTAGCTGTCTCGATTTCTATGCGCAGCAGGAAGTGCTGTGCTTGGCAGTATGTGGCAGTGTTACTTGTTTTAAGAATGTGGTGAAGTCCAATCTTGGGGCCAGATTTTGTAAACTGTTTCACAAAGCAAGCTATCTATATTTCTTGTCTCTTCGCTAAGCCTCTGCAGTTCTAACTAAGTATTTGGCATGTGACAGCCATTTGTGCTTTCTCAGTATTTTGTGAGGACTTTAGTTCATCTGTTGCTAGTAGGAAGTAGAAGGCTTCATTTCATGAGTAGAAATCTGTCTTTATTAGAACTAAAGCTCTTATTTCCTTTAACTTGGAAATAGTGCACAAACATTACAGTTATTTTGCCTGGTGAATTCAGGTTTTGCTGGCTTTATTTTTTAGAAGTTACTACACTTTGAATTTGAAAATAGCACATCGTAAAAAAAAAATAATAATTAAGTGATATTCATAAGTAGGTTGAATTATTTTCTGGAAATAGCTGTTTTTCAATTTTGCAGAAGTGTGACCTGCACCGCCTGGAAGAAGGCCCTAGTACCACAGCGGTGATGACTCGCGAGGAGGGCCTCCATTACTACAAGACAATGCAGACCATACGACGGATGGAGCTAAAGTCTGACCAGCTGTACAAGCAGAAGATCATTCGTGGCTTCTGCCATTTATATGATGGTCAGGTAAGATTTTTAAAATCTTATTTTTTCTAAGAGGTTTTATGTTGTCTTACCTTACTTAATATAGGGGCTTGAAAAGAGTGAAGAGTAAATCTGGAACTGAGTATCTGTATAATGTCTGAAGTTGTAACTCGATCCATGATTTAGTTCATTGTTTCTTTAATAACAGTGTCTTAGGGCACAAGGGAATCCTTGAGATTTTGGGACAGCAATAGGAAGAGAGCAAAGGCAAAGTGCAGCTGAAGATCAGCTGAATGTGACGAATGAGCAACCGCAACATACTAAATTCAACACATTTGGAGGCCCGCATCCTCTTCAAGTTTCACTGATGTTTTTTGTTGTAGTGTCTTATAGATCACTAAAAAGCAACAGCCAAGAGAAGGGCATTCATAAACTTGGTGAAACCTTGCTGTCTGTCCATCCCTCCCTGCTATTTTTGAATTGCAGTTGTTTAGATGCTTCATTTGGGAGATCCAGCGTAGAAAAAGTCCAGATTTGTGCGCTTTCTAGTTTTCCTCCTGTCTGCTTTTGTTAGTCCTGGTCAGGGTGGAATTCAGAGCCCAAGGCTGCTGTAGCTCCAGGCTTGCTGGCTTTAAAGCAGCCTTCTGTATCTGTGCTTTTCCCGTTTTCTGCTGATACCTGATGCATGGGGATAACAGCTGCCCCTTGCCACGTGCTGGCGGCGGGAGTTGGGTGCTCCTCTCTCTTGCTGAGCTGACTTCTCCTTTGTGACAGGAGGCTTGCTGCGTAGGGCTAGAAGCTGCCATAAAGCCCACGGACCACGTGATCACAGCATACAGAGCTCACGGCTTCACCTATGCCCGGGGGGTGCCCGTTCGGGAGATCCTCGCCGAACTCACAGGTTGGTGCTCAGCACACTCAGGATTCTCACACTTGCTGGACTTGGGCCAGAAGTTTTTATTCAAATTCAATGTGTTGTTGGCACACCAAGTATACTGGGGCTGCAGAAGCAGTTTAGTGTCATAGCAGAATAAAGCAGTTTTATAATGTTATGACGCAACCACTTTTTTCTATAAAGTGTTAAGTCTTAAGGAATACTAAGTGCTGGTACTTCTAAAGCGCAAACTCAGAGAATTTTTCTTGATCCCACGTGCTGCATTTGTCCTGTGGCAGCTTGTTCGAATGGAGCTTGCTGGTGGTAGGCATTTGTCCTCAGTCAGACATGGCATTACTTTCTCTAGGAGACAGACTTGGATTTACAGAATTGTTCAAGTCTTAGGTAGACTGGTAAGTGCTGCCTGTAACGATAAAACAAACTGGGAAAATTTTCCTGTAACAAGAATGGCAATCTGGAGAGATCTAAGATTTTGCAGACAAGAGAGTTTATTCACAATAGGGTTGTAGGTAGGGCAGGGAAGAGAAGAGAGGATCAGTCTGCTGAATTCTTGAGAGATCTGTGAATGGGTGCCAGAAGTGAAAATGAATGAGGAGTTTGAGGGCTTTTATGAATCATTGGTGTAATGAAGGCTTGATCTGAGAGTTTGCATGCTTGAAACGTGAATATGGGGAAGGGTGTTTGGGAGGTGGAGAGGCGGCGCGGTTCCGCGTACAAAGAGTGTGTGTGTGCGCCAAGAATGCACATCAATAACGTGCACAAAAGCCCAGGATCTGCCTGGACTTGCCAAGTGTCACTGGATACTCATCAGAGAAAGTAAATGAGGAGATTGTCATTACTGAAGCCTGCTATTGTCCCTGAAACTACAAATATCAGAGGTGATGCGTTTTGGGTTATTTATTTTTTTTAATGACACACATTATTTTCTATAGCATTCTGTTTGGTTTTAGCAGGATTCTTTTAACTGGGAACGAGTTCTAATGGGGGCAAGTTTGAGGAGAGGAGAGCTGCTGGAGCTCATGCTTGCAAAGAAGGGTCTTGATTGAAAATGCCAGACTGAAAGGCAGCCTGAGTTAAAATGACCAGGATATGACACAATTAAAAGGTCTTTGAAGGAACAGGAAACAGTCACCCAAAATAAAGACTAGCAGATAAGATCCTACAGGAAACAAATGATAGAAAAGGGCTTTTCAGAATTGACAGTTCCACAAAGAAACGGTTTTGTGTTCTAAGAAAAGTAGAAAGTATAGCAAAAAATGTCATTGCCAATCAGGAGTTCTTAAATACTTTCTAATACAAGGAAGGGCTATACAAAAAGTTGAGGAAGATTACTGAAGTTAAATTACACTTAAGAAAAAGTTTTCTAATTAAAATTAGGCAATTTTCCCTAGCTAGAGAGTCCATTAAAAAGCTCATATGAAACCAATTCATGAGCATGTGAAAGGTATGAGAAAGACAATAATAAAAATGATCTGCCATTAAGTAAGAAAGAGAAGTACAAATTCCAGAAAGAGATCCAGCATTCCACATCTAAAATAAACACCAAAGGTAAGGTAAAAAATACCCTACCAAACAAGCCGTGCTTTTTAGAAATGAAATGCAAGCCTCTGTGGCTAGTAACAAGGCAGATTAGAATTAAAAATAATGGAGTGGGCTGATGAGAAATTCTGTGTTCTTAGATCAGGTCATTTAAATAGAGTTTGTTGTAATGCTTCAGTTATCTTCAAACTGCAGCCTTATCTGTAAATTTGACTTCTGGATATTGTGACAGGGAAGGCAAGTGTAGATTATTGCAACTAATCTGGAACAGTGTTCATACCTTGGAAAGGTATACACATACATTTCTTGGAAAAGTCAGAAGAACTGTATATACTGCTTCTCACAGATTACATACATGACAAATAAAGACAATGTTGGCTATTAAAAAACCCTCAACAAACCATATTTATCAGGAAGCATTTTTGTATAGTAGGTCACTGACACTTCTTGGCTGATTTTAAAATTTCTTCTTAATCTTATTCTGTATTTCCTGAATTATGTTCTCATTATCATTCTCTTCCCCCCCAGCTTATTTTGTGATGTAGTTGACTGTAAACAGGGGAGAGGCCATTGTGTCTTAACTCCCCATAGGTCTAATGACAGCAACATGGTCTTAGTGTTACTGCCTTTAGGAATTGAATTAAATGTTCCCATTTGCATAGTATTTTTCCTCTGAAAAAAATAGATTGCTTGTGTTTTTGTGCTTCAGGTCGAAAAGGAGGATGTGTGAAGGGAAAAGGAGGATCAATGCATATGTATACCAAAAACTTCTATGGTGGCAATGGTATTGTTGGTGCTCAGGTATATACATCACTTCTGCTTTAAAGCACAAAGCTGAATTTGGCTCCTGTCCTTTGCCAGTGTTTCCTCTTGTTTTTTGTGGTGTGAGCTTGTATGCAGATATTGTTGCTGTGTGGCTGTTAAATCTGGCATCTTTTTTTCTGTTCTGCTCACCCTGTTGTGAAGTGTAGCAAAACTGAATCAAACTGAGAATACAGTTAATGTTTATATTTAGGCTGTAATACAGATTGGAATAAATGGAAGTGGGCTGATAACTTGTTTTGGGGCAGATCTCTTACAGTGTCAGTGTTTTTTCACAGTTCTCAAGCTGCTTACCTCCAACTCCTCTAAACATTATTCTAAGACTTTGCTTTGTCTGGTAGGTTCCTCTTGGAGCTGGGATTGCACTGGCCTGTAAATACTTTGGTAAAAACGAGGTCTGCCTGACCTTATATGGGGACGGTGCAGCAAATCAGGTAAACGAACTTTGTCTGGCTGGTCTGAGAGGGGGCTGTGGCCGGGGGTGGTCTGTTTCCCTTCTGTGACCTGTGAGCTCTGCCCTTCAACCTGGCAGTGAGAGGGCACCTTTCACCCTCTTGGTGTAGTACCTGCAACCCTGGCAAGGTCTGACTTGGAACTTAGCCTGAGATTTGTGTTGGGCTTTCTGCTGCAAAGATACTTCATTCAAGAAGCCCACCAACCCTGAAAAAGCAATCCTGGAGAGAGAAAACAAATGTACCACTTCTGTCCTGCAGTCGGCTGCAGTCTTTCTTTGGGCTTTTGTACTGAAGTGCTGTTCACAGAGACAAACTTCATGTAGGTGGCTGGGCATCTTGCAAAGTTTGGACCTCATTTTTGTTGTCTCGGGCATTTTGAGTAAGGGTGTGTTTCAAGAACTGTATAGTCCTCAGAGAAGTGATTCAGGTGAACAGTTAAGAAGTTAATTGCTAGA